CTGCCGCCCCCAACGTGGCCCCCAACGTCGACTTGATTGGACCGTTCAGGGGCGGGGTCCGTTTTTTGGTTGCGGGGGGGGGGGGGGGGGGCTGAAGGTCTATAGACTACCCGCACATAACACTAGATCAAATCCATATTATGCAATTATGATTAATCTTGTCTTTGAGAAGCTTCCTATTATTTACAATAATTTGTTTAATTGTTTTTCTCTTAAATAACATTTTTTTTTCAACAACTAGTAGGTCATATTTTACTTTTAGTGAAAATAATTCTACCATTAAATTATAATTTTCTTGATTAGTTTATTAAGTATAGCAACCAACAATTTACAATGAAGTCGAATAATAACAAAATGCTATCCTTCATTATTACTAAAATTGATACTATCAATTTATTTCAATCTTACTTAATTCTAATTAATGAAAGAAAAAAACAAATTCATATCTATCTACTATAATAAAGTCGATCTCATTATGAACATAAATGTATAATGTTCATCAACTAAATAAAACTAAGAAAAATTATTATATTGAATATGTTGTTCGTTTCTATCGTTTGAATAGCAACAACAACAAAGAATAACATTATTTTTATATTCTGTCAATGTAATGTTAATTACTTTTTGCTTCCTTCATTTTTATTTCTCTCGATTTTTTTTTTCTTTTACATCGAATAATAAAGAAATAAAAATTTCTCTCTTTTTCTCTTTTTCTTTTTGTCCCTTCATTCTTACGTCTCTTACAAGCAAATAGTAAATTCGACTACAACGGACGGTCGTCATAACAAAAAAAGAAAAGAAAGATGGCATCATTGCTCAAACTATTTTTGACACTTGAACCATCACTTCGTTTCTATCTACGTTCACAACGTATTGCTGAAATTCATGAAGCTTTGATATCATCATTACTTGTTTGCAAACCAGAAGATCCAATAGCATGGTTAATTAGTTGTCTTATTGAATTACATTCATTACCACCATCAGCAAAAGTTAATCTTAATTGGGATTATTTTATTCCTGAAATATATCGACCAGTTAATCGTCCATATAATATTGAAAGTTCATTAAGTTATGTTTTTGCTGTTTGTGATGATACATTAGAACCAAATGAAAGACAAATACGAACAGCTATTGAACATTATAAATTTTATATTCAACGAAAACTTTTTTCAGCTTGGCTTCGTTATTATCTTACACGATTAGGTCAACAAAGATATTTAGAAAAACGAGAACATGCTGCTAATGAATATTATCGTGTACGATTATTGAATATTTATTTTCGACAATGGTCACTATGGGGTTTGTTATTATTTTAAAATATTCTTTTATTAAAATATTTTTCTGTTATATAGTTACTCATCGTCTTTCACGTCAAAAAGCAGCTGCATGTCATATAAATCATTGTGCTGAAACTTATCAATTACGAATTATTCTTAATGAATGGAATATTGTTGCTCAACAAGCACGACGTACAAGAGATTATTTTGATCGTGTTGAACGAGGTGAAGAAGGTCAACAATTTAATGGTTTTCTTAGTAAGTTTTGATATATTATAAAGAAATTAATTCGATTATTAAATAATTTTTATGATTAAGGTCATGGTGAAGCACGTGATGAATTATCTCTTCTTACACGAGAAGCTGCTGTTCGTATACTTGCATATTTAGATGTTGATGATTTAGCTCGATGTGCTCAAGTTTGTCGAAATTGGAAAATGTTGACACAATCATCTATGCTTTGGTCTAAACTTGATTTACATCGAACAAGTGATGCACTTAATGATCGACTTGCTATGCGTTTTATACAACGAGCTCGACCTTATTTACAACATCTGAATTTAAGACAATGTTCTCGTATTGGTCGTTTAACTTTTGTTGGTAATATATACAGTGGGTCCCAAAATTGTTCAACAAGCTTTATTTTCAATTTTTTCTCCCTATCTTCACCGCTACGAAGTCTCCAAATAGTGATTCCAGTAGAGAAAATGGTTTCCAATAAGAATATAAGAAAATAGAAATAATAATCAGATTCCCAAGGGCTGGGTCTCCAGAAAACCAAAACCCTAGTTTTTCAGCACCGAGAAAGCGTGAATTGTTTTTTGTTTTAACAGGCTAGAATGATAGAACAGCCAATTCTGTACAAAATGAGATGCCTTCGAGCTCTCTATGATCTTCTCTTCAAAAGTTATAAGCATTA